CGAATCCCCGACGCCACACTTGCGCTGGTGTGGGGGCGCCCGGGGGCCGGGGCACGCGCCCAGGCCACGCAGCCCTGGATGGTCTCCCGCTCCCCTGAACTTCGACGGACCAGTGGGTCGGTCGAATGGGGGGCCGGCCAGCAAGAACGAAAAAAAAAGAGGGAAAGGACACCGAGCCGGGGAGGGGGACTGCGTGGCACAGTCGACGAGGATGGCACACCCATGTGGGTGGTCGCGTGACGTCGGCACATGTGATCGAGAATGGCGTTACGCGGTTCTGAGTATTTGGTCAATTAAGGATATCGGTGGGTAACTTTCTGTATTGTCATTCCCTCGGCCCTGCTAGCACGGGCATATTTGCCTGCACATTCGTGCCCTCGGGACTGGAGAGGGGAGCAGCAGGGTGGGGAGCGCAACAAGCCACAGACACACACACACACACACACACGCGCGCGCGCGTGCGTGCGTACGGACGAGCGTCGCGTGTGGCGGTGCAACAACATGAGGAAGATAGGGAAAGTGGGTGGCGGTCGCCGAGGAGGAGGCCCACTTGTGCAAGGAGAAAAGAGAAGGATGCAGGGGCGGCTGACAGGCAGTCGCGGCAGCTGCAGCAGCTAGAGGAGTAGATCGCCGACGTCGACATTTCCCAGGTCGGGTCCACGCCAGGCGGCCGAAAGGCCATCATCATCGTCCACCAGGAGCTGCGGTATCACCGGGCTGGGATTGGCACTTGTGAGTTCGTAGTCGGAGTCACAATCATCGCTGTCCTCGACAACACGGTCCAGATGCATGGGATGGGGCGCCAGCCGTCGGGGATGGCCCCCGGCCGGGGGCAAATCCACGAGCATGCTGTCGGCCATCGAGGAGTGGCGCCGGACCAGGGGCAGGAGGAATTTCGGCAAATCGTCAACCAGGTCCAGATCGGGATCCAGGCCATCAAGCGGGGGGCTTGGCCCTCCGCCACTGCCGGGGGCACTTTCGCCGGACCCGGGCGGACGGAGGAGCCGGTGCGGGTGAAATGCCACCGGGGCCAGTGTTGGACTGGATCGAGGGCTAGCATGCATCGGTGGGCTAGCGGTCGGGGGGATGGCATGCTGGTGCCCGAGCCGGAGCCGGAGCCGGAGCCGGGGTCCGGCTGGCCGGTGTTCCGGGACCCGGGCAGATCCGGGCTGGGGGAATCCTCGGTCTCGCTTTCGAGCTGGGTCGACACATCGCCGGCATCAAGATCGAAGTACCGGTGGTGGCTGGCGAGCTGGTAAAATAGCCCACCCTCAAGATGGGCGCGCAGGTCCGGCGCGACGGTGACCGTGGCCGGCCGATTGAGATCGTCCAGCGCCATGGAGGGCCCATCCTCGAGCGAGAAGAGCGACGAGCGTGAGCGCTGTGAGGGGGCGGCCGACGCGGCGCCGCTGCTGCTGCCAGCATCGGCCACGGAAAACGACCCGTCCGTCAGGCTGGACACCGAGGCGCCATACGACCTGGCAGAGGCCACCGAGGGGGCGCGGGATTCGACGGCCATCGATTCGACGGTCGCCGGTGTCCCGGGCCCATCCTGAGCCAAGTGACTGATGCTGGCATGGGCGCTGGCATCACCGCCAGCTGCATTGCGCAGGGCCGCTGTCGCTCGAGCTATCAGCCGACCGGACGCCTCGTCTGGGCCGTACAAGGTGTGATATCGTTGGAAGGCTTCCAAAGCCTCGGCATATTGGCCAGCCTCAAATTGGGTGAAAGCCCGACTGAAGGCCTCCACCTCGCGCAGGAATTCCAAAGGAACCTGCTCCTTGGCGGCCAGCAGCTCATAGATGACCATGCTTCGAGTGCGTGGGTGCCCTTCGGCGCCCGCATGGCGTTCCGAATGGCCGGCCACTTGGATTCGGTCCACCGGCCGACAGAGAAGCCGCGACCGGCAGCCGCGGTACGTGGACTCGGTGATAAGGATCTGGGTGCCGTAATCCTTGGTGCGCGTGCGTGCGTGTGTGTGTGTGTGTGTGTGTGTGTGT